GGCTCCCAGCCCGGGCTTGCTACTACCCCCACCCGAACCTCAAATCATGATTACTTGCGGGCAGGGTCCTTGGGCCTGATTTTTGCATTAGGGGCAGTAGCTACAGACTCCATGGGGCTTTCGCCTCTTCGAAAGTCTTCTGCACCAGATCATACCTCGATTTCAGTGGGGTCTTGCGCTTTTGCGTGCCTCTGCCTGTGCCTTGTGCATGTGTGTGTGTGTGTGCGTTAGGTATGTTGCGGTATGTTCGTTTCCTATACTTCTGACATAATCTTTGCTGCTTCTTTTTACGAATGCTTATGTATGAGTTCTTCATGACTACGCTTGCTTTTCCGAGTCCGAGTACCATTTCGATTACTTACTATATGATTCGTAATTTTGTAACGATCACTTGCTAGTCTACTTTTTTGGTCGGGGCCTATTGCGCATGAAGAATGCGCGAGCACCTGGACGAGGATCCTGGTTCCTTGCAGCCGCCTATGCTAGTTTGTTTGTAGGGTTTACGGGTTCGGGTTTAGGTTTTTTTGGGCCTGCATCTTCAAATCTAAGACTTCAGATTCTAAAGAAGCCCCTTTAGGCCTTTGCCGTAAACCCAAGCCTGAAAACCCAGGCACGGTTCTCAACAGCAAAAACGTCACGGCCCGAAAGTCTGCGACACCCTAAACCCTAAAACCTGGACCCAGAGCCCAGGGTCGCCCGGTGCCCTACGTCTGCATAAGCTGGGAGTGCACCCAATCGCCAAGGCGCGAAAAGTCGCCTTCTTCACTAAGGATTTTGGGCTCCTCTAGATAAAGCCCAAACCACCCCAACTTAACAAGGCTTACTAGAACAGTTCGGTTGCCCCAAACACCCAAAACAATCGCCCTCCCCTACACCCTAAACCTGATAACCCCTAACCCTAAACCCTAAACTCCCAAACCTCTTCCAAAAACATAAAGCATCATCCCTGGTCCCAGGTGCAGGGACTGTCTCTGAAAGGCAGAGACAGTCAGGTGAACCGACGCTTCCGTTGAATCCTCGGGAAAGTGTCTGGAAAGGCCCCCCTCCCCCCCCCCCCCCCCCAACCCACCCCCCCAACAAAACATGTGTGCATGTACAGAGACATATACAGGTGTATGTATATGTATACTGATGTGCACTTGGAAAAACACACACCCCACACCAAGTAGGATTAATGATAATATCTATATATATATATATATATATACGTTACATGTATAAATACAAAAGTATTCTGAATACCATTCTGATTATTCTTATGACCTTTCTTCTTATGATTCTGATTCTAAATACACATGTCCTGTATCGATCAGGGCAGGCGGCTTGGGATCTCCGGGCTTCGGCTGTCGCAGCTTAGGCAGGGCTTCAGGAGATGTTGGACTTCGGGCTGCTCGCTTTGATCGCTAACCTAGGGTTAGGGTTTAGGGTTTAGGGTTTAGGGTTTGGGGTTTGGGGTTTGGGGTTTGGGGTTTGGGGTTTGGGGTTTGGGGTTTGGGGTTTGGGGTTTGGGGTTTGGGGTTTAGGGTTTAGGGTTTAGGGTGCCGGGCGCCGAATACGGGCGTCCAGGTGTTGCCATCCTCCACGCCGGCCCAAAAATAGTTGCCCCTGACTCCTCCCCGCATCTCCCCGCCCTAAGCCCTCGACCCAAATCGAAGCCCTATAGCCCGCAGCACCCTCTCCCCGAAAACTGAAAAGGCCCGAACTGCAGCAAAACATGCTAACAGTCCTGAATAGGAACTTTTGTACCCCCGATTACAATCCCTATGAAGGAGCTGTCAGTATACGGGGGAACATCCCAAGTTATGCACCGTGTTGAGCCTAAACCCTAAACCCTAGACCCTTGACTCTTGACGTTCTGCACCTTGTTGGGGGCATAGTGGATGGTACCGCGCGGGAAATAGAGCCTCCCAGGTTGTCTGATGGTACTTGGAAGCTCTGTTGACTTAGTTTGGGGCTTCGGGTTTAGGGTTTGCCTAGTCTACTTAGTATCCCCTAGAAAACATCTTATAATCTCCAGGACCCACCTTACTAACCCTAATTGCTTACTATAAGTCAAAGGGCTTCCAAGTAGGGCTTACAGGGTCTACGAGTTGTCTGATAGTAGGGCTTGCAGGGTTTAGAGTTAGGATGGTCCCCCTTACACTCACAGCTCCTGCATGGGGAACCCTGACCCTAAACCCTAAACTCTAATCCCTATTAAGGACCCTTAGTATAAGGCGGAGCATTCCAAGTTTAAAGGCTCTACTGATTTTTTTTAAGGGGGGGGATACCCAAAGGCTCCACTGTAGTTCCTTTTTGGGTCATAGGAGGTTCTAGTATACTTCCCCCCAAAACGTACTACATAGGAGCCTTTGGGTAGGCCTCCAGGGGCTTGTTAGGTTAGGTTTAGGATCAAGGGCTTAAGGTGTTTCCATGTCCGACATGATTCGAAAGATGTAAGGCTCATGGTATCCTGGTCCGTCCAATGTTAAGCTGGCGCGAAGAACACTAGGGTAGCTAATGCGATTTAGGGGTGATGAAGTCTTTAAATCGGGCAGTGACCCCGCACCTGACGTACTCCAATAATCCCCAAACCCGAAACCCCAAACCCCAAACCCCAAACCCCAAACCCCAAACCCTAAACCCTAAACCCTCAGCCCCAAGGACCCCAAGTGTTCTTGTCACTCCGTGGTCACCAAGACACAGATCGCCCGCCGACAGCTTGGGGCAGAGAAGCGGTGGCGACAAGGACCTGGGAGGTAACCCAATGAGCCCACTACCCAGGGTTTAGGAGGGTTTAGGGTTTAGGGTTTAGGGTTTAGGGTTTCCTTATTTAAAGGGGCATGTATTGCGGCTCGCTGGGGCACGTGTCAAATCCGAATGCTGACAGACACCGAGGCCCGGAACTGTGCTTGGCTCAACTCAGAGCTCTTCTTCTGAGCAATACTTGGAGGTTCATGGTACGTATTAAACTGAGGGTTTAGGGTTTAGGGTTTAGGGCTTGGAGGTTCATGGTACTTATTAACCTGAGGGTTTAGGGTTTAGGGTTTAGGGCTTGGAGGTTTCATGGTACTTAGCAACCCAATTCTAGCTGCACTTTTAACCCCACTCTAACTCTGCTGGGGTCCTTGAGGGCTTCTCAGTGGGCTATAACTACTACGCTGCTAATTGGGTTATAAGTACCCTGAACCTCTAAGTATAGGAATTGCAAAGCCAGTTGGGGGTTTACAGAAATTGGGGACCCCAGACATGGATCCCTCATATAGTAGGATTCCCTTATAAGGACACCAGGAAGGTACCCCTAATTTCGGAAACCCCCAGTTGTGAACAAGAGATCTTTCAAGAGGGCGTCTCGGAAAACCGGGGGGGGGGGGGTTAAGTCACAATTTCAAGTTCAATTCATTCATAACATATGGCTCGAAGCACAATAAACACAACACTAGCCTCCTTCTCACTATCAATTCCAGAACGCTGGCTGCCCTTACACAATCAGAATGGCCCTAAACCCTAAACCCTAAACCCTAAACCCTAAACCCTAAACCCTAAACCCTAAACCCTAAACCCTCAACCCTAAACCCTAAACCCTAAACCCTAAACTAAACCCTAAACCCTAAATCCAAACTCAGAATCCAAACATCCTGCAGGATGCGGTTCATTGCCGATCCTACTTCGCAACACTCCGAATCCTATACCGCTGCAGCATGTAGGATTTAGGGTTTAGGGTTTAGGGTCTAGGGTTTAGGGTTTAGGGTTTAGGGTTTAGGGTTTAGAACCTCCAACACCCTACTCTATACATTGCCATCGACTCTGAGAACCCCCTACCAGGCAGTAGAGGCCAAGTTGAAATCGACCTGCGCGAGCCCTAAACCCTAAACCCTAAACACTAAACCTTAAACTCTAAACCTTGCGCTTCTGCCCTGCAACAAACTTTGAACCCTCCTGGAAGCTGATTCATGCCAGGACTAGCGGATCCGCTCCCACAGGCCCCAAAGACAAAGTGGGTTTAGGGTTTGGGGTTTAGGGTTCCCTCAGCCCTAAAAACCTATGGAAACCCTAAGAAACCCCTATCTCACCCCACGAAACCCTGAAAAACCCTGTAAAGCCTCAACATACCCAAAAACACCCGATAAAACCCCATCAGCCATATCCATATATATATATATATATATTATAATATATATACATGAACCCTGAACCCTGAACCCTAGGGTTTAGGGTTTAGGGTTTAGGGTTCAGGGTTCAGGGTTTAGGGTTTAAACAGCAAAGTAGAGGGGGGATGCAAAGCCCCAGCTGCTCGAGATCGATGTCGCCACTGCTGAAGCCTTGGCTTGCCACAAGGAGTGAAGTCCTAGTAAGAAATCATACGCAAAAGGGTTTAGTTTAGGGTTTAGGGTTTAGGGTTTAGGGTTTAGGGCCAAAGAGACCGATACCCTTGAAAGAAGGCATAGACCTTAGTTTACCTACAGGACCCTTAAAATTGTTGAAGGTATATTCCGTATCTAAGGGCTTGTGGGCTCTCTGCGTGCTTAGTTCTGGGGTGTTTTGGTGAAGGGTTCAGGGCCTTATAGAGGAACTATTGAATTTAAACGAGGGTATAGGCTTTAGGACTTCTAGGTACAATGTAGGGACCCGTTTCAACTAACTGGAGCGGGCTTTTGGGGTTGAGGTGTAGTATGTAGGGCTTCGGCTTAGAGTAACATAGGAGCCTATGTAATTAAAATGGGCTTTGCAGTTACAGCGTTTCGGGCTTCAGGGCAACAAGGGGACCTGGTTGATCATAATGGGTATCTAGGGTAGTATTGTTCAAACTTTCTGTAAGGAAATACGACTGGCAATTCTTTGAACTACTGTAGCATGTGGAGAATCGCGAGTAAGGATCCACTCCTTACATAGTTATATAGGCACATGGATCGTTAGGTTAGGGATTCCTGACACAGGCTCGGCCGCGTGACGTGGCAGCGTCGGAGAGGGTGTGGCACTGGAAGAGGCATGAAGTGTCCATGCCTTTTTGCCACCCAACCTCAGGGCTTCAGATCGAGATGCATCACCCCATGAACACCTCAAACAGGCCCTATATAGAGGAGCGCAGCCGAAAGACGCCCCAGACCCCTTAACTAAGAAATGCATCTGAAATCGGATCCGACATCCGTGGACGCCTAGAGCACATGAACCCTAGCTCCTAAACCCTAAAGCAGCTCTAGGAGCCCAGCTGGTTGCCATCCGGGCGTCTGAAGAACGAAGACCTCGACGTCGTCCCAATGGGGCGCCAGGCCTGCCCAGGGTTTAGGGTTTTATGGCAGGGTTTAGGGTTTGGGGTGCGGGGAGGGTCCATGTACGCACATCGTATATAATTGGGCCCTAAAAGCTTCTGTTTAGGATGCTAAGGCTCAGGTACGATATTGGTGTGGATGCTTGGGGGTTTTTGGGTAAGTTCAACTACCCTGTGGCCGCCTGTGGCCACTGCTGTGGGTTCACTTGGAGGTTCACTGTACTTATAAGCATACTAGGGCACTTAAGGGGCATATAAGTGGGTTATAAGTCTAATTGGCTAATAACCCTAAACCCTAAACACCATGATGAACCTCCAAGTGCGGCCCTGCTGTGGGTTCAGGGTTTTGAGCCGGACTCCTGCACCACGCCCGCACGCTTTTTTGGGGGAAAACTGGGGGTTCTCTAACTTAGGGTCCCAGTTTAGGTGGTTACTAGTATAAGCCGGCCCGTAATCCCTATAGTATTTAGGGTACCCAAAAAACGGGACCCAAGGTTTGTGAGAAGTGACCACCGGTCTCTTTCATCGGCCGGGCGCCTTGGGTGCCTGGCGGGGTGAGGTATGCGTTTACCCCGACGAGGCATCCGAACTCGGTCTCCAAAGCTACCACCAACGAAGCCAGAGCGTCGTGCTCCTTCGCAAGGGCCGAGATTCTTAGTTACATGGTGGGCCCTTCTAAGGGGGCGCCTTAGATACTACCATGAGGCAATTCTACTACTTGGGGGGTCTATTATGGGGGTCCCTTGTTTTTGTAAACTCCCAGAGAAAGAGCAGCGTTCACAGCACCGGCACAGCAGTCGTCATCAGCTCCTGCTGCGGCTGCAGCCACTGGATGCTCCAGCCTGCCACATGCGGAAGCCAGGTCGTTCAGTAGCCCGTGAAAAAAAGTGTATATATATATATATACATATGTGCTCTTATTATCGGACTCTTAGGAGGTAGGAACCAGGATTTTGGTCATCTTCCGCGCACCCCATACACCCCCTAAAGAGGCCTTAAGGGTTGAGTCTGGGTTCCTGGGCTGTCTCCGAACTCTAAAAGCCTTATCTCAGCTTACAGCTGCAGGGCTTTCAGGCTTTCAATTCTTAGGGTTTAGGGTTTAGGGTTTAGGGTTGAGGGTTTAGGGTTTTTTTTTTGGCACCCGACTAGCCACAGCAATGCGGGGTTGAAAGGTCGGTCTCGAAGAAAGGCAAAACAAGATGTCCCCTGGGATTTGGGATCACTTTCCCTACCCGGATTAGGGTTTAGGGTTTAGGGCAGAAGACGCCATTTCATTGGCTTGCTAGGGCCTAAGCCTTCCAAGCCCAGGAGCCGCCACCAACCACCTTAAACCCTAAACCCTAAACCCTAAACCCTAAACCCTAAACCCTAAACCCTAAACCCTAAGAGCTGCAGCACCCCCAGAAGCTGCAGAGACAACTTGGCTGTGACCCACCTTCCTGAAACAGTCGGCGTACGTCCGCCGGGGACGATGGCGGTGGGTTCGGGGTTTCCTCCACTGCTTCGGGTTTAGGGTAGGGAAAAGAGGGTTTAGGGTTTAGGGTTCGAAGAGGGGCTGCCCTTGTGCCCCAAGAAGGGTGGATAGGAAGGAAGTCCTTGCTGCTGGTAGCACTTCGCACTTACCCTAAACTCTAGGCCTTCAGTGCGGTCCGGTTACGGTTAGGGTTTATAGGGTTTATAGGGTTGGTAGGGTCTACAGGGTCTATAGGGTTAAGGTCTCCTTGTTGCTGCCATCTTTGCACCGGAACATGTTGATTCGGTACACCGGCACAGCGCCCTCATCCATGAGCTTGAAAAGCCTGCACCAAAAGCAGGACTGAGGCGAGCATTGACAAAAAACAAGGGTTTAGGGATTAGGGTTTAGGGATGGTACCTCGTACACTTTCAGCTCCTTAATAGGGATTGAGTAGGGGGGGGGGGGGTACTATAATCCCTCTAAACCCTATTAAGGAGCTGTTAGTAGAAGGGGCAAAACATCCCAAGTTTAAAAGGGTCTGTGGGGTTCAGGGAGTTCTGTAACTAGGTCACAAGCTGTGATCGGCAGTAATCCGAATGTAGCTTAGGGTTTAGGGTTTAGGGCTTAGGGTTTAGGGCTTGGAAGGAAGCTTGCTACGCCTCTGCTTAGGGCTCGGGCAGAATGTCCCGAGAGGGGGGGACGGGACAGGGGGGGGGGGGGGGGGGGGACGGGGGGGGGGATGGAGGGGTGACGGGGCGAGGGGGGTTGTTGTTATTCAATTGGACTGGGTTCCTCGTCGAAGGGACCCTAAACCCTAAACCCTAAACCCTTATTATAGCCTAGTTCAGAGAGACCCCCTAAGTATGCTATTGTGGGCCTCTCTGGGCTTGACACGCCGTCGAGTTGTGCGTAGTACTTGGCACTCCTTGGCAGTTGAAAAGCAGACGGACCCCCTAAACCTCCTAAACCCCAAACCCTAAACTGGCCCCTTATACTACCAGTCCTTAATAAGGAGTATAGTGCCGCCTATTATAACTAAATTATCCTTATACTGCCAGTCCTTAATAAGGACCCTAGTGCCCCCTGCTATAACCCCTGTTACAGAAGGTCTGTTAGTATAAGGGGCCCAAATCAGACCCAGGTAGCCCTCTTATACCCCCCTCAAATAAAACCTGAAATTATATGCAGGGGCCACATATAAAATTAAGGTCGACTCCGTAAGTAAGGCGGTATTCCTTAGGCAAGGAATACACCTTCAAGGTATTGGGCTCTCTGGGCCTGCACCTACTGCACCAGACCAAAGAAGCCACCCAAACTCCTCAAGAGCTGGTGCCTCTTGGCCCCCGAAGAAAGTCGAGGCTTTCCGAGAGAGCCCACTACCCCTGAATTCAGGTACATCATAGAAGTACCTGAATTATGATAAAGGGGTCCTTAGTCGGATTTAAGGTCCACGCCTTCATTTCCTTCACTCAAGGGGGATTGGGGTCCGACTCCATGAGGCCCTGAACCAACCTCAAAACCCTAAACCCTAAACCCTGGAACCTGAAACCTGCCACCATCACAAACAAATCTCTAAACCCTAGACCCAAAAAACCCCAAACGCTGAACCCTAAACCCTAAACCCTAAACCCTAAACCCGGAGGCCCTGGCCCCCACATTATCCCTTTAGGTTTAGGCTTCAGGGTTTAGGGTTAGGGGGGCCGGGGGGGCATCTAAGCCCTGTCCAGGGAAAGCCCGAAATCACAAACCTATTCGGGTTTGAGGGTTTAGGAATTGAGGGTTAGAGTTCCGGGTTTGAGGCTTCAGGGTTTGAAGATCTTGGAAGCCCGTAACCGTCTCATAACAAGGGCTCCCTTTTGGGTTGGTCACTTTACAAGGGGACCTTGAACCCCAAAAAAGGGAAAAGGGCACCACTGGCTGGGCTACCAAGGGATGTTAGGGTTTAGGGTTTAGGGTTTTAGAGGCCAAGGCGCCCCGAACGCTGAATGTGCAGCGGCTTTTGCTCGAAGAAGCTTTCCCGAAACCTAGTTCATGGTTGGTTTAGGGTTTAGGGTTTAATTAGGGGTTAGGGCTTTGGGCTTTGGGCTTAGGGCTTAGGGCTTAGGGTTTAGGTACCCTGAAAAATGTAAAATGGTACCCAACTATGACAAAGAAACTCCTGGACGCCGATGGCGTTGCCTAGGAGGGAAGCGAGACCTCGGTAGCCACGCCAGTGCGGCTCGTGGAGGAGTGCATGAAGCCCAAAATGCTCTCTCCTGTTGAGGGTTTAGGGTTTAGGGTTTAGGGTTTAGGGTTTAGGGTTTAGGGTGCCCTTATTTTCATGGCACTTCTAGGAAGCGTGCATTCTGGTACCCAAAGCAAGAAACTAGAAGTTGGAGCTAGGTGCATGCCGAGAGGGAACAAGGAACCAAAGAGTCCAACCTCTTAAGGCACTGCACCCCGTCTTGCAGGGTTAACGGCTTATACCCTAAACCCTAAGCCCTAAGCCCTAAACCATAAATCCTAAACCCTAAATCCTAAACCCTAAACACTTTACCCTAATTGAGTGCATGACCCACATACCCTTAAAGGGTTTAGAGTGTAGGGTTTAGTGTTAAACGACACCTGGTTCATCGGGACATTTTTAAGGCTGCAACCGACACCTGTCTGCATGGTCTTACCCTAACGAGATTGCCCAGCGCATTTATGTTTGTGAAAGGGGTTTTCAAGCATAAGGGTATGACTGGACATCCGAGCTAAACCTTAAAGAACCTTGCATAGGATCCAGGGTCCCGAGTAGACGGTTTACGGGTTTAGGGGGCTACGCTTCGGGGCTAAGCGGCGTCTTAGAGCTGTTTTTGCAGTTTGCGGTGGCTGGAGGGTCTGTACGTCGGGCCCCGCTACAGACATCGCTACTGCAAGCTGCCCTCACCCTCAACCCTCATATCCAGTCCATACTCCTTAAAAAGGGAAAACACCTTAAGATCATACTAAGTATCCCATATTTCAAGGTCTACTCCTTTGTCCTTAATTAAGGGGTATTGGACTCTTTGGGTGCTCAACGTACTCCATAGGCAGCCAGTATATGCCATGCTCATATGCAAACCACGTTCAAGCCGTACTTTGCGTGACACTCCCACTACCCTAAACCCTTAAGCCTTAAACCCTTATTGCAGCAGGCTTGCGCGAGGACTCACCCTAAACCCTAAACACTAAACCCTAAACCCTCAAGCCTAAACCGCCCCTGCAAGGGCCCACAAATCAGCCGATGACACCCGCATCGAAGGTGGTGTGCGACTCCGAGCACTGCCTGACCCCAAAGCCCAGACTCAAGTTTCAGGGTCTGTGTTTGTAAGCCGTCTCAAGCCTAAACCCTAAACCCTAAACCCTACACCCTAAACCCTGAACCCTAAACCCTATTTTAAGCTTGAAGGCTCAACGGTGCTCTGGTCTGTAGGTCTGGGCTTGGACCTCGGAGGTCTAAAGACAGGACTTACTCCTTGTTAAAACCCTTGTACTGTGAAAAAAACGTGGTGTTCCTAAACCCTAAACCCTAAACCCTAAACAATCCCACTCTCAAGCCCACCAAGTGGGAGGAGTCGAGCTTCATTGAGTGTGGTCAGGGTCGGGTTTTCACACCCGATTTCCCCTACTAATCATCACCTTTTTTGGCCCTGCATGGAGCGGGCTTCCACTTGCAAGGGGGTATTGCCGAAAGAGTCCAGTGCGTGACACCTTGTCACAAGCCAGAGTTGCAAGTCTGCCCCCACCCCCCCCCCCCCCTTACTTCAGCCTGGCTCATGTCGAAATCGAGCTCCTCAGCTTTAAGCCCGAATCCCACACTGTGAACCCACCAGATAAAGCTCCATGTAACCACAAAGACAGCCGAATCGAGCGAGATGAGTGGCCGCGTGCCACTGGCATCGCTCGGTGCCGCGTCGCTCCGTGGTTTGGCCTTCTTCCGCTTTCCAGCCATGGCAAGGCCAGATGCGAGGATTTCGGGGTTCGGGCTCTGAAGTCTTAGAAGTGTGCAATGTTGAGGGGGGCGAAACAGGCCTCTGACGCTTTCTTTAGAACCGGCACACAAAGTCACACTGCCCTGCACCCCTGCGGTCTAAAACCGGGCCTAGCCTTGCAAAAACCCTGGTGGAGGGTTGAGGGTGTCATAAATTAACTAATAATTATATTTGTTTATATTATTCTTGTTTATATAAGTTAAGTTTGAAGTATGCATAATGTAAAGGGGGGGGGGGGGTGAAATGCTGGCCAGCACCACTTGGGCCCATGTTCAGCGCCCTGAATGCTCTTTTCCGGCTTCTTCGTGCCGTGAACCTTAAATAGCTAGAGCACGCAGGTTGAAACATGCAATAGAGGGGCCTGCTTCTTTCCGGTAGAAGACGTTACATAGTCCACTCAACTGGCAAATTTCGTTTCGACTGCTGCACAAACTGCGGCATTTAGCAGAAGCACAACCTGTAGCAAGGTCAGAAACAGCCTGTACCTTTGCCATCACGCTTGCAGAAGCTACCTTGTCACTGACTTCCCCAACATTGGGGCTCTGACAGAAGTGCCCGAAGCTCGGCGATCTGGGCGTGGCAGAATCCGACGCGTGCGCAAGTGAAGTGTGCTAGTCACCCGATGTCCTCTCACAAGTGAGCTGGCCAAGGACTACTTCGAAGATGTACTGAAGCCACATGGCTGAACAATGCCTTTGAAACCGTGTGAAGTAGCTCGAATCCTGTTCTTTTGCAATCATGTTCATGAGCAATAAAGGTAGCAAGCCACCACAAATTCTGCCTTTAAAACCGTCCGAAAGACAAAGAATATTCTTCCTCATAAGGACAATGTACGGATTATTATCTTATACTTCTGGGGTTTCTCGAACAAACAGGAGACCAGATGCAGGAAAAATCTCAGGGCTGCACTGAGATGTTGCCCGAACCGTCCTTCGGTGAACTGCTTACTGTTGGTTAGAGTACCCAGTGGTTTTAAAGGTTAACCTTTGGGATTTTTAGGTGAATATACTAACCCAAAAAGGATAAAGGTTGCCTACTCTACTACTGAGCTCTACTAACCAACAGTAAGATTGAGGCTGGCGGTCTCTCTCGAACCCTCTCGGCATCGAAGCTTGCAAAGGCCAGCTGTGCTCGGCAAGGAGGGGTTAGGGATTAGGGTTCTGGGTTCAGGCTTTAGGGTTTCGGGTTCAGGGTTTAGGGCTTAAGGTTTACCAGTAAACCCTGAACCATGAACCTTAAACCCGAAACCCTGGAAAGACGCCTGAGGTAAAAAGCCCGTGAGCAGACCACGCAATAGCCAACGGAGCCGCCTGGTCATACTTCTGAAAGATCCGCTCTTGCTCAGCTCGCTCAAACTCCTCGGCGGCACAGGACTCACTGGCCACGCCGACGGGTACCCTGAACTCTAAACCCTAAACCCTAAACCCTAAACCCATGGTAGTCTACGGGTCGCTCTGGTTCAGCCGTGTGCCTGCGACCACTAGACAGTTTGACAGCCGCCGCAAGTGCAAGCTGGATGCTGCCCTAAACCCTAAACCCTAAACCCTAAACCCTACACCCTACACCCTAAACCCTAAACCCTACACCCTAAACCCCAACTACGGCAGCTTGGGAGAAGGCGTCGTAATGCGTCATGAACTGGAGGAACTCGTCGAAGTCCATGTAGTCATACATGGTAATCTGGCAGGGGCAGAGAGACCGGGAGAAGTAGATTTACAGCAGTGCAAAACAGGTTGAGAGGACAAGGAACCCAGAGACTCTAAAACCCCTTAATTAAGGAATATCCCTTAAATCATACTAGGAAACCTAATATGATTTAAGGTATATTCCTTAATTAAGCGTTTTTGGAGTCTCTGGGAAATAGTGACACAGCAAGATGTGAAATCCGCAGCTTTGTGAACCCCAAATCCCTAAACAACAAAATGTCCACACCTGAGCCGCGCGACAAATTTGAAAAAAAAAAAACACATGCGTCAAGCCATGTCCTAAGCCACGAACACACACACACACACACACTTGTGCATCCATCCACAGCCTGAATCTGAAATCTGTTTGTATCTGGATCAAGGTCTGTACTCAGCCAGGCTGAGTGTAATTCTCAATCCAGTCCATGACCCTTCATGAGGATGTTCTAGAGATGCGATACAAACAAGTTCGATGCACTGCTGGCTAAACAGCACACACAACTGCATCCTGTGGCAGCAGGTACGTCCAGCTGGCCAAGCTGGATATCCTGGTCCTTCTGTGTGGAGCTTCGTTGGTGGTAGCCACACAGGGACCCGACCATCCCCCTGCTGGAAAACGCATCGGAGGTATCAACTCTTAGTGACAGAGTGTCACACACACACACACAGGAAACCACCCGAAACCCAAAGCTCACACTCTAAAGCCATAAATGAACGAACAAAAAGGCACCTGCATGTACATCTATGTTTAGTAGTGCACATGCATATATATATATATATATGTATATATATATATATATGTATATGTATATGTATATATATATGTATATACGAATATATGCACGGACGCACTTCTCATAACTCGTTAAGAGAACCTCCCCGGGTATACAGAAGAAAAACGAACCCCCCCCCCCCCCCCCCCCCCCCGGCCTTCCTGGCCATCTCGGTGATCGCGTCCTGAACTCTAAATACCCTAAACCCTAAACCCTAAACCCTCCCCCTCCCCCTAAAACCCTAAAGGCCCAACAGGCCACCGGCTATTTGGGACTCAGGGTTCGTCTGCGGCTTACCCAAAGGCTCCAATGTAGTTCCTTTTTGGGTTAGTTACAGGGAATACTAGTATACTACCCCAAAAAGGTACCACATAGGAGCCTTTGGGTAGGGTTTGGGGCTGAGGATTTCGGGGTCTTGGAGCTTGAGGCCGTTCGTCCACCCTGGGGACTGACTGAACCCTACACTTGGGGTTTAGGGTTTAGGGTTTAGGGTACCCCATACTACCAGAATCCCTGCTGCTATATATATGAACTATAAACCCTTTTATTTAGGAGCCATGTGGTCCCCAAGGTTAGGGTTTGGGGATGTTTGGGGCTGTAAACTCTAGGGTTTAGGGAAAGCACCAATGCGGGTTGCGGTCTCCAACATCCTTGCAAGGACCACTTTGCTCAGCAACTGAGATGGCAAAATCTCAGCACGCAGAGTAAGAGAACCTTAAACTCTCAACCCTAAACCCTTAAACCCAAACCCCAACCCTCTTTCCCAATTTCTTTGGGGCCAGGGGCGAACCCCTTGCCTAGGCGCGCCCACCCCAACCCTCTCTCTCTCTCACACAGACTCGACAACCTAAACCCTAGCAACCCAAGGCCTCTCAACCCTAGACCCTTAAACACCTTGGTTTCCCTGAAGCGCAGGCACTTCTGCTTCAGACACATCTTCGCGTCATGGCGAGTGGCCACTTCTGGATCGATTGAAAAACTCATAAAGCGGGTATGGGGTTTAGGGTTTTAGAGGTGGGCCCTGCATACTTCTGAGTAGGCATGGTGAAACAGATTCCATTCTGGATCCTCGCCAGGGTCACTTCTGGATCGATGGAAAAACTCATAAAGCAGGTATGGGGTTTAGGGCTTTAGAGGTGGGCCATGCATACTTCCGAGTAGGTATGGTGAAACAGATTTCATTCTGGATCCTCGCCAGGATTGCCGGCATCATCCTAAGGCAATTCCCAGGCACACTGCCAAGAGCCAGCTGCAGAAAATCGAGGTAGTTGATGTCCTTTGAGGTGGCATCAATCCGACAGCGGGTCGTGGAGAGCGAAATACTGGACCAAGTCTTCTGCAGTTGGCCTCCCTTCAGGCTCTGCCGTGGTACAATCCATGAATATCTGCCGAACATCTTCGGGCACCGTCTCATCAAGTTGCAACCTCTCGCCAGAAGCGATGAAGACGATGATCTGCGTCGCCACCATTCCCGCAAAGGGCAACCGTCCAAGCAGGACTTGATAAAGCAGTATGCCCAACGCATAGATGTCCGCCTTCTTTGTCAGCCTCTTGTTTTCCAGCCGAATCAGCTCAGGCGGCATATGTGAGACCGTGCCAAGTTGAGAGGTCAGCAGCGTGGAGACACCTTCCTCCAGGACTCTGGCAAGCCCAAAATCGCAAACCTTGCACACAAAGTCCAGCTCCGGTGGGCCCGTGCTGTCTCTCGACTTGAGCAGCACGTTGTTGGATGTCAGATCTCCATGGATGATGTCCTTGGAGTGCAGGTATTCACAACCCGTGCTAATGTCGCACAAGATATTCTTCGCCTGCCTCAGGCCCAGCCCAGAAGTGCGTGGGACATCGCAGTAGCCGTTGAGCGTCCCGCGGTCGCACCACTCCTGGACGATCCAGATCTCCTTCCTTGAGCTCTTGCTTGAGCTCTTGCCAGGCAGCTCACTCTCGCAGTCGCGCATGAAGAAATCGAAGGCCTGGACGAGGTTCGGGTGCACCATGCTCATGCACAGCTTGGCCTCCTTGACAGGGTCGATTCTCTTCAGCTGCTCTCCTTCCCACGTCATGATCTTCACGGCAGCTTTCTGGCTCTTGTAGTTGGCGCAATAGACCTGGCCAAAGGATCCTTTCCCGATGCAGTCCAACAGCTCCAGCCCTTCAACAAAGTTCGCACGAGAGCAACCAAAGACATCACTCCGCGATGACGACGAACTGCTGAACTTCGTTCCCGGCGGGGTCTTTGTGAAGGAAGAAGAGCTTGGAAGTTCCTGTTCCGACATGGCCACGACGGACGATATTAAGGACAGTTTCTGTCCCAGGAAAGCAATACTCCGGTGGCCAGAATACAAGACGCCGCTAACGAGGACCAAGACGACAGTGATTGTGGCAGCGGCCCAGACCCGGTCTGCCTCAACACCCATCACTGGCGAATCCCGCCGCATCAGGTAACACACCCACGATCCAGTGAGTGTGAACAGCAAGTGGAGGTGCACAAGGCTTTCCACAAGC